TGTTAATAATGGCTCTTCTAAAAAGCTGAGAGCCAGAGGAAGCTGCCCTTGTAGAGGTGCTGCATGCTGCTAACCATGAGGAACGATTTACTGGCTACCACACAGTGCAGGAACTGGGCACCATTGGAGCTACATATGCTACATAAAGCCTGGGACAGAAATGCAATAGAACCAAGGGGGGAACCCCATCCCATATCCAAAGTCCCTCCAGTGCCTGATAGTTTAACAGCTGGCAAAGGAAGAAAAGCATATGGAAGCCTGAATAAGCAATGTAAGATAAATTTAGAGCTAAAAGACAAATAATAACTAGAAGGCCCTTATTTAGTTGCAAATTGCAGATTAGGAAATTTAGTGTCAGAGAGATTTTTGTCACTTTCCTAGTCACACAAGGGATCAGAAAACCTTGAAATTCAAATCCATGTGTATTTAGTTTCCATCACATGTTATTACTTTAGAAGATTAGTTTTTAAGCAGTGTATAGACTAGATTATAGGAGTGTGGCTCAGGTGAGAATGTCTTCTAAGAAATTGTTTAAATGGACCAGATAAGAGGAAACAGGAATTCTCAAATACCTAGCTACACAGATATTCTGGCATGAGCTCTGAATTTTCTCATTCAAGTTTAGCTTGTAAATGTAAGAATTCACAGTTGTCATAAAGTGAAACAAATTAATAGGAACATAAAAAAGGACTTTTTTTTTTTTTTTTTTGTTCTAGGGATTGAAACCAGGGATACTTTGCCTCAGCCACATTCCCAGACAATTTTACTTTCTTTCTTTCTTTTATATATTTTTTAAAAAATTTGCTTAGGGCCTCATGAAGCTGCTGAATCTGGCTTTGAACTTGTAATCCTCCTGCCTCAGCCTCCCAAGCAGCTGGGATTACAGGTATATGCCACCACGATAAAACAATGAACTCATTCTAAAACAATATTTTATAGATACATAAAGAACAAAACTTACTATGTTTAGATAACTGCACAATGGAAAAATCTCCAGAACAATATCTTGTGGAGAATGGTGATGGTGATTGGGAGACCAGTGTCTGAGATTAGGGTCCCTGATGACTTTATGACTGTGGTATGCTTGGTAACTGGTAAAGTTTCTGTGAAAAGGTGTAGGATGCCCCTGTTGCTATGGCAATACTTCACATGGGGAGACTGTTGTGAGAGTCTTATCAGCTTTGACCTTATTCTCAGGCACATGGCTCCTGGTAATGAAGGCACTTCCTTGCTAAGATAACCACAATGTTTCACCAGTTCCACTGCTCCTCAATCTGCCCACAAATTAGTAACTTTAAACAACGGACTTTCTTGAGAGCTGCACAATGCCCCTAACATTGCACATTCCAACTGTGGAATGTAACTGAGGTAATAGCTGCATAAAGTTGCTAACTCTTTAACTTTCATGAAAAAAAGAATAATGCTTGCATGGTCTTTAATCTGAATTGAGACACATACAATAAAGATTGCTGGTATAATTCTTTAGACCTGCTTCTCCATCAGAGAGCAGCACTCCACCTGACCCCAGCTTTATCTTTAAGATCTACATGTGTGACTATTTTTTCTAATCTCGAATCTCCCCTCACTGGGAACCTGCTGGTTTGGCCATGCTGGTCATGGCAATATCCTATCTATCTATCTATCTATCTATCTATCTATCTATCTATCTATCTATCTATCTATTTCAGTACTGGGATTGAAAAAGCCTCACACATGCCAAGTAAGCACTCTGCCACTGAGCCACATCCCCAGATTCTTTTAGTTTTCAAAGCCCCATAGACCTCATAGTGTAAATGAACCATCTGATTGGGTGTAGGTCCCAGTAGTTTCTTCAACATCCACTTGCCATTCCCTACAGGGACTTTTTACACCCTTCTTAATTTCCCCAACTACTTTGAAGTCTCTGAGTATATATTGAAGGATTACCAGATATAAGTAAGTAATTGTAGATATTACCAGCATGTTTATGAATGACTGATAGTTTTTTTTAGTATATCAAACTTTCATAGGCCTGTGTTTCAGACCTATCTGACATTCATTCAAATTGTATATTACTTTCAATCATAATGATTTGTACTTTAAAAGGGAAATCTTCTAGAACCCCAATTCTGACTTGTGGAAATGTGTGAGGATTTCTAGAATCTGTGAGATACTGAATTCATGACTGAACTATGCTCTAAGTAAACTCAGAATTTAGCAGGAGGACTGCCATCTCTGGTTTATTTCTTTTTTTTTATTAGTTGCTCAAGACAATACAATGATCTTGACATATCATACATTTGATTCAAATGGGATATGAATTCTCATTTTCCCACGTGTACAGATTGCGGGATCACATTGGATTTATAGCCACGTTTATACATACAGAAATACTAGTGTCTGCTGTATTCTCCTGCCCTTCCTATCCCTCCCTCCCCTCCCCTCCCATCACCTCTCTCTACCCAATCTGGTTTATTTCTATTACCCCATTTCCTTTTCTTTAGACCACTAGATAGTCTAGCATGATGTTTGAGAATGTGCTGGCAGTCCTGAGGCTGTGCCATGCAGAACTCCAATGATGTAGAACATAATGGAACAGGAACCCCAGATGCTGTATTCTGGAACCCATGGCTGCAGTTGTGCTGAGGGCTCTTCCCATGGGTTTCCAGGTTGTAAATGAGTATAGCAGGGAGGTGAAGGGAAGCTAGTCCTGGGAGACAGGGATGTCCTCCGATGGCAACTTTGACCTGTGGACTCTGATTGCCTTGCCAATCCTTTCTTCCTATGATTCATATTAATTCCATCCAATCATTTTCTTCTAATTTTTCTACTGTAACAGTGACTTACATAAATCTGGACTTTGCCATTTAATAGTTGTGAGACCCGTGTGTTGCTTAACCTCACGTTCTGCACCTTACTTATATATAACATCGAAAAACAATGGTTTTCTATTGAGTGGGATGTTAATACAAAAGTCACTTATATGAAATTTGAGTCAATGCTACTTATTATGATAACATATTCACAGTAATGTTTACAATATGAAATCTCAGTGAGAAAAATCTCATAAAACTGTTCAAGATGTTTTTCAGCAAATCTTACTCTTGAATTCATATTTGTGAAAGGGGGGAGGAAGTCATTAAATCTAAAAAATTCAAAGATTAAAGACAGAACACAATAGCACTATTCATGATTTCTGTATATTGGTAGTACAATCTCATTTTGATATATTAAATCACCTTACATAAATAACAAGACTATTACAGGATTCAGTGGGATATTGTTGAAGGCTAGGGTTATCCCAGCTATAAGTGAGATGTATGGATTGTACTTGGAAACAATAAACAGAAGTCTAATGAATAACAGTCAACTTCTTATTTGCAATTACTTTTGTACATGACATTTCTCAAATGTATTTGCAAAATTTAATTATTTTAATTAATTTTTTTCTCAGTGGAATTTTAATGTGGACACAACTATCTTAGAAAAACTCTCCTGGAAAACTATCTTGTGATTTCACCCTATACCTTATTCTTTGAAAAGCTTTTTCATTTATCCTTATAATTAGTACTCACAACTTCATAAAAGGTAGTAGAACAAATATTAATGATAAATTATTTTATATAGAACAAACATTAATGATAAATTATTTTATATCAGGTTACATCCATGAATAAGCCTATAATGGCACTCCTGGGGATATTTTGCTTATTCCTCCTTGTAGTTCAATTGTATTTGTTCCATTTAGGAATTGGATAAGTTCAGTCACAGTCAGGTCAGGGTTTTTAGATCCATTTATAGCACTTCAATACTATACTGATTGATTGGATTTTTACATGGAAACTCAGATTTTCTGAGATGTTATAGAGTAGAAGTCACTCTGGGCTTTGTGAAACAGACTCGACTCTGCAAGTGGGTTGTTTCCTAGTTCATTTGCATATATATATATATATATGTATATATATTTCTAAATAATCTGTAAGATCATATTCAACTAGCCTCCATAAAATCTATAGTTGTTTGGTGTATCACATGGTTTCCATCAGGATTCTGTCCAAGAACAACAAGCAGCAAGTGAGCCATATGGATTTTAGCCTCCCCTGGTGGGTGAAAATGTGTTTGATTACACAGCTGAGAGTTTCTAGAAAGGGAGGCCTGAACATATATAACAGATGCAAAACCGACTGGATCTTGCTATATACATCTGCTTTGAAAATAGGTTGTGATGGGGTTTTTATTTATATAATGTAAACAAGCTTCCTTGCTTTTTTGACCCTTTTAAAGCAAGATTTCTTAAGACTTTCCAATAAGCTTTCTTATCTCTTTACTTTGTGATAATTTAAAGAATAGCCTACTGCCCCATGGAGACACACCTAATGTGAATGTGAATAATATATTTAGGATATGTGACTCATACATTATACACACACACACACACACACACACACACACACACACATACATATGTATGTGTTTATGTTTTACAAAATGTATTACTTGATTTTCCATCTTTTTCATCATTGTGAAAAAATACCTGAGAAAATTAGGTTAAAAGAAGGAAAGGTCTTTTTTGGCTCATAGTTTCAGAGGTATCAGTCCCGGGTTACTTGGCCCTGTTGCCTTTGGGTTTGTGGTGAGGCAGCACATATTGGCAGGGAGCATGTGGCAGAGGAATCTGCTTACCTCATTGTTCTAGGAAGTGGGAGAGAGAGAGAGACTGAGGGCATTGGGGGAAGGCCATGGCCTTTCAAGGACACTTATCCAATGACCTAAGTTTTTTCCACTGGGCCCTGCCTCCTAGAGGTTTCTCTACTTCCTCATAGCACCTCAGGCTGGCACCAAGTCTTTAGTATGGGCCTTTGAGGTAATTTAAGATCTAAATTATAATGTAGGGGTTTAAAATAACCTGTCTTTTCTGAAAAAATAAATTATAGTATAACAGTATGTTAAAATGAAATTTTCTGCCTCAGTTTTGACAAATACCCTAGAATATAGGTAGTACATAGTTTCCCATTTCAAAGTGAGGTTCTAGAATACTTAATCAGAATTCTGAAGGTGTTTTGTGACCTATACCTGAACAATCACATCTGGCCAAATAAGGGTGGACACTAAGGAATTAGCAGAGGGTTCCAACATTGTTGCTTGTGGAGAATAATCATATTTTTCTTCTTCTTTACATCATGTGTTGGTGGTTTCAAGGACCATTCAGAAATCTTCATAAATACTATGTGGGAAGAGAGAGAAGCTTTAGTTTTCTTTTAAAAGAAGTTTCAATAAGATAAAAATTTCTTTTATATTTTCCTAAACAATTTGACATTTGTGTATTATTTACATACCATAAATTTTTCCATTAAAAGTGTACTTTTCAGTGATTTTTAGGAGACTCTAGACACGTGCAATCATAACTAAACATTTAGAATATTTGTATCAACTCAAAATTTTTTCTTATGCTTCTTTCTGCCACTACCTGCTCTACTATCCAGCCTTAGGCAACCACCGAGATATTTTCTGCCTCTAGGTATTTGTATTTTCTAGAAACTTCAAATCATTAGAATCATACAATAAGGTACTCTTTTGTGTCTGGCTTTGTTTACTGTGTGATGATTTTAGGGTTCTTCCCCAAATTAACATTAACTCTGAATTTTTTTTCTTTTGGTTTTTGTTATTTTTCCATCGTACACATATATCACAATTTATGGTTCTGTTCACCCATTGATGGACCCTTAAGATTTTTGTAATTTTTGGCTATTGTGGACAATATTGCTATGAACATCCCATGTACAAATCTTTAGTGTGGGCATGTTTCATCTCTCTTGGGCACATACCTAGAAATGGGACTGCTGAGTTTTATGATAAGTCAATTTCTCAAATGAGTCTACTAATTAATTCTCACCAGCATTGTGAAAGTGAAGAGCCTGCCTAACAAAGTGGATTTTGAGGGGCCAGTCATGAAGGATGGTAATGTTACAGAATATTTGTACTATTTGATTTGTTTTATTAATTGCTTTTGTGTATGTGTGTGCGCCTGTGAAGCACTGAGGATTTAATCCAGGAGTGCTCTACCACTGAGCTATGCTCCTAACCCTTTTTTATTTTTATTTTGAGACAGGGTCTCACTAAGCTCCTGAGGTTAGCCTTGAATCTGAAATCCTCCTGCTTCAGCCTCCCAACTTGCCATTATCATGAGTGTGTGTCACCATATCGGCCTCTTGTTTTAGCTTCTAACTGAAATTTTATTCAAAGTATTCGAGATCATTAAAATCTCTGATAATTGTCCTTATTTGTATTAAAAAGAATGAGTAGATAACCTGGCTATAAAAACAGAGGGAATATAGTGTTTTAAGTACCCTATTTTTGTGTATGTGTGTATTCATCAATCCATTCTTTCTTTATGTGTTCATTTATCAATTCAACAATTACCAAAAAAGACCAGAATCTTAAGTCTGAAGACAGATAAAAATCAACCTTCTACAAACCTCATGGAATTACACACATTTATTTTAAATATGCCAAAGAGAAGGGAGCATTAAGGTTCTACCGTTTCTTAATCTTGGAATGGTCTCGGGAATTTTCACTTCCCTTAGCTATTTTTATATAGTATACACCCAGGAAATATCACTTCTGGGGAGACCACATGGCTCTAGTTACTCAGACTATTAGAAAATGAAAGAAAAATGTTGTTTGGTTTTAAGGTATTTTGGTGATGACCTAAAAGAATAGAATAGGTGCAGAGACATTACAACAATAGCAACAACAACAAAAACCAAGAAAGCCCAAACCCCCAAATCAGTGTGAAGACTGTCTGGTCTCTCTGGAGAAATGAAAACTTAGTTATAAATAACAACTGCTGATGAGATGATTAGGTTTACTGCTTTTGAAATTTCCCATTTTGGACAAGTAAAGAAATTAAGTAAGGTAAAGAATGAATACCTGAAAAACTAATAAACATTACATAAGTATATCTCATTTGTTTCCTTCCTGATTTTATTGGTTAATTTTCTTTTAAACTTAAAGATATCCATGTTTTACTTCAGTTGATCAGTTGCAGAAGGAAGTTAATTAAGACCTTGCGATCAGAGCAGACTGTATTTCCTTGAACTCACCTTGTAGATGACCAGAGCTGATAGATAAATATTTTGTGATTTTTCTCTTTTGAAAGGTAGCAGATTCAATAGCTGACAGAAGCACTTTAGATTATTATCCTGGCCCATTTTTTGGATCTATTACTCTTAATAGAAGAAACTAGTGTATATAAGAAACATCTTAAGATTCTTTTTAAAAATATAATTCTCTGGGCACCCCATTTTCAAAATTCTGATTTAGTGTATCTTCTAGTACTCTAGAATGTACATCTTAACAAGGACCAGTGGTAACTCTAATGCTAAAGAGTTCGGCTTCACTTTGGCAAAAATTGCTTTGATGAGATGAGTGTTTTTTCAAATCACAATTTTGTGATTGAATAATTTCTCCCAAAGGATTGCTTTGGCTATACTTTTATAATCAGTAGAAGGTTTGATAAGAATAGCTGAGGTGTCATGAACAGTATTTAAGTGTAGGAAAGCTAATTATCCTCTCAAAGGACAGAGATAATAAATTATGGATTGTAACTTAATAGTCACAGCTCAAGTGAACAGCACAGTGAAGACTAAGCAGTTTGATTAATATACTGCTGAATCCATTGAATCTGCCATTTCTTTTCAATCCCATTTCTTCATCCTGGATCTTCACTTTCTCTTTTTACATCTTTTCTGTTTTTCTTTTTCTTCTTTTCCTCTCCAGTAAGTCACCTTTGCATCTTGTATCCACACTGTCCTGTGAGACATCCTCTTCCTGACAGCATCCCAATTGAGCAATACCATTCAGAATAGCATTGTTGATGATCCAGTGAGATAATTAATAAGTAAGTGCATTGAAAATCAGTAATGACTTATTAAGCCAAAACATTAATGTGTAAAAATATCAGAATCACGGCTGGATTATAACTCCGTGTCGCCTGCAGAAACAGAGGGAAGCTTTTTCACATGGTACAATACAACAAAGGGAGACTCTTCTTTTCCTCCTGGAGAAGTTATGCAGCCAAGGCATTTGCATGCAAGGAGGGAGTGGCCAGCTAGGGGAGCACAGAGCTGAGGTCTGTGCTCTTCCCCCACAGGAAAGGCCACATGAACACCCATAGAACACTAAGAAAAATCACACACAAAAAAATTTTTATGTGATAAGAATTTAAGAAAATTCTGCCAAGGAAATTTCAAGAAAATTCCTTATGTTTCCTCATACTTCTCTGTTCTATTAATGAATAGTATTACGATAATAAGAATTATAACAGCATTGGTCTACAGAAGCTCTGTCCATGGCCTACCTATAGTAACCATAAAGGAGATTTTCCTGTCTTCTACTTCTACTATCTGCTTATTCTAAATATAGCCTATGAAATAAAAGCAGGATAAATACTGAACGTTCCTTCTGGCATTTTTTCAGAATAAACAGTGGGTACTCTAGAAAGGTCCAATGAAAATTCATAAGTTTATAATATCATTGCTAACTTATTAAACTTTATTTGACAAAATTTTCACATTGAAGTTTTTATTATTATATAAACAGTTCCATTTTTAGACAGTAGGGACTTATCTTCATTCTAACACCTGGCCTGTACCCTTTTGACAAAAAAAGTCTTTGCACTCTGTCAAAGCAGAGTATCTCAGCAGTCTCTTCTGTATAACCTGATCCAGTCATTTTGAAATAAGTTAACTTTCCAAAGAGCCTTGGTTCCTTTCAGTGAGGAATGTATTATTAGAAATTCCATAATCTAGTTATCTTAACCTCTTTAGCATTAGACTAATGAACAACTGAAAGGAAACAATATGATCAGAGGATAGTCACTTGTGCAAATAGGAAACAAGAATGCAAGAGACACTGTTTTTAAAAATCCACTTTAAGATGTTTTTAATCTCTTTCTAACTTATCCTATTCCCTTGTTTTGACTTAACAATGCCTCATGTTTTTAGACACCTATGTATTTATTATCTATTTTTCTTTTTGAGTCTCCTAGGTATTAATTTTATTAACTGTGAAAAATAAAATTGCTACCATAAATGACTTGAGCAAACAGTTACTGCCAGTGTTTTTCTCCTGCTGGTTTATTAGTATGCTGGCCAATGTGGAGATATATATTTAGACTGAAGATCTGGTTCATTAATCATCTACTACATTTCTCCCTCTTCTGAGTAGTAAAACTCTTGTTAATGAAACTGATGGATAGTGAAAAACACTTAATGAGTCCTTCAATTTTGCATTAGTGTTGTTTAGACAGCCAAAAGGAATATAGAGAACTGTTGTGTTTCAGAGCTATTAGATCTGAAAACAATTCATATTTTCTTTCTTACAAATGAAGAAGTACAGATGAAAAGAGACGAGGTGGTTTCCTCAGTGCCACGTCATTGTTAGCATAAGTACATAGTGTTTAAAAATCTGACTTTCAGCAAAGTACATTTTCCCCTTTGTACATTAACTTTCATTTCACTTAGAAAAAAATCAGGTGAATACCTATAGTAACCATAGTGTATGTCCATGCACATTGGTACACTAGTTTATTAGTTTATTATTTTATAATATGCTTAAGTGAAAGGAAAATTGTAGATATATAAAATAAACTATAATGTAATTGGAGAGTATATTCATCATGGAATTCCATTTTGAGGAATTTTTAGTAACAGACAATACAGTTAAGATGTGTTTATGTGACAACGGAAAGTGTGCATTCATGCTTAAGTGACAGCTTATAAATAAATTTCTCACTATTAAAAGTTTTATTCTAAATTATGTACTCTATCTGAAGGTACTTAATAAGTTTCTTTATAGGTGACTTCATTTGGTGGACAAAATCCAAAATAGAAAAAAAAATACATCTAAACAACAAAGTTTTAAAAGAAATTGGATGAAATTTTCCTCAAGCATACAGTTCACACTTCTTTTAGCAGGAAAGAAGCTGAGTACATTGGAATGGCTTCTGGTTTTCATGATGTCTGCTTAACTACTTATGGCTAGTTGCATTTTGTAAGAACTATTTCTACTTTAAACATTTGACTGAAGAAATCATTTTTGTTTCTTTACTTAATGCTGTGACCTTCCCATTTTATTTTGGAACACATTTAGCAAGTAAAAGCTGTATGACAAATACTGTATCAAACAATGCAGGGATGCTATGCTCATAGAGTGCCTGCACTAGAGGACCACTGAGAACAAAAGCAGAAACAAAGTTCAAAAATGTGTAGCTAAAAAAACGTGGCCTCTCGTTTTCTAGATCAGAGTCACTGGATGGAAATTGGCTCTCTGCCTTCATTAGACGGATAGGGCAACATGGAAGTTAGGCCATGCAACTCGGTCCTTGTGCATTTGGCATACTTCCCAGAGACCCTCATGTAAGGAATCTGGTGTTCATTGGAGATGAGACACCTCATGGCAAAGATCAAGGTGCCCCTGCTGTTGGCAAGCACAAACTGCCAGGCATGAGCTAAATAAAGTGCTCCTGTAAAACAAAAGCATAAAATAGTAGGTATTTGTTTGTGACAAAGGTGTGCAGAGATATTTAAGAAAAAGGTCTCTGGGTGGAAAGCAAGCTCAGGGAGCTACACAACTACAAACATAAACTGCACAAAAGAAAAAAAATATTTGAGGGCATAATCAAGAGCCCAGAGAGGAAACTACAAATTAAAAAAAAAAAAAATGGATTGGGAACTGTTCCCAGCAGCATCTCCTGTCTGCAGAGTTAGGGCAACTGGTAACAGGTGATAGATCAGTTTTCAAAATTACTTTGAATCAGTAAGCTCTGTGTGCTTCAATTCTTTCTGTTGATAGTTATTGAAGTTATTCTATCAATGTCTATTGAGATTATTCTATATTTTTTCTATTGGGGTTTGCTAAGGTTATACTGTCTCTACTGTACCAAAATATGCTAGATGGATGGTTGGATGTGTGTGTGTGTGTGTGTGTGTGTCCATGCACATTGGTACACTAGTGTATTTTCTAAATTTTAGATTTCTAAATAAGCTAGAGATTATTATATTAGGCTTTGATCCCAATGCCAGTTATAGGTAAGATTTTAGAGGTCTTGAGAAAGGAAAAATGTTTTTCATGTGGAAAATTGTGAATAATTATGGTCAAACATGGAGTGTGGTAGATTTAAGATGATTCTAAATTTTTTTTATAAGTTTCACAATTAAAAAATAGAGTCAGTTTTTACCACTCTTTGAATCAAAGCTGGGATTCATTTCTTCTAATAGAGTATAGCTGAAATGATATGTGATTTCTAAAGTCTAGGCTTTGAGAAGTCTCTGGCTTCCTTCTTTGCCCCCATGGAATACTGCTCTGAGACCACTACATTGTTAAATTGTCCTAGCCAACAGGAACATGAAAGAACAGGTTAAAGCTATTACAGTTGACAGACATGAGTGAGACTATCTGGAAATTTCCTACTGAGCTGATCTTCCAGCTGAAGGAAGACACATAAATGAATACAGGTAAAATTAGCAGAGAAACTTCCCAACCAACCTTCAGAAACATGAGAAGTAACAATTATCATTGTTGTTTATCCACTAAGTTTTGATGGGGGCTTGTCAGAAAGAGATATTTGACCAGAAACAAGAAACAATATTCTGTAAGATATATGAAAAGACTTGTGTGCATGTGTTTGTGTGTGTGTGTGTGTTTGTGTGTGTGATATTTGATTTGTTTAAAATGTTCATGAAGAATGTGGTGTTCTGAATTTGTACTGTAGGATGTGAATGAAAGATAAATTGAGGATGTGTTGTAGAACTTAAAATCCAGGGTGAGGTATTCACATCCTATTCAGAAGTCAATGGCGAACTGGAAATGTTTGTGTAGGGAGGAGCCATAAACCCATCAATGACCAGAAGAAGAACAAGAACTTTGAAGACACCTCATTAATGATTGTAAAGAAATGACCAGAAAATTTCCTTTTCATTTTTGTAGTGTTTAAAAAAATTCTTTTTAGTTATAGATGGACATATACCTTTTTAAAAGTTATTTTTATTTTTATGTGGTACTGAGTGTTGAATCCAGTACTTCACACTTGCTAGGCAAGTGCTCTACTACTGAAATACAACTCCAGTCCCAACCAGAACAGAAGATTTTCTGATCTATCAAATGTTATATAATTCATTGAAAACTGACTTGAAATCAGTTTACTCCCCAGTGAAAAAGTGTCAGAATGCATCAGGAAATAGCAATTTGTCAAAGAACCTAAGAACAGAAGTGAATAAGATGTCTTAATGTTGAATATAATGTTAAATATGTTGACATGCTGCATGAGTTGATTTTGAATGACAACCAAGATGACCTTTCTGGCACTATTTTATGCACAGTCACAGGGTACTTTATGATATACAGTGTACATGTGGAAAACATTTGCCCTACTTGGTCATTTGGATTAATTTGTATCATAAATGCACCTTTTACCACCCTGTTCCCAGATTCATGGGTTTGATGTATGGCACTGTTTAGGTCTTTATTTTTCCTCTTAACTTTCCCTGAGGGAGTCTTTCAGTGTGACCGCACTGATTGATGACTACCCTCCCAATGACTAACCTCACAGAGAGAGTGCGTGGACAGCTTTATGGCTCATGGAACTCTGGGAACATTTCCAACCACTTTCATTTTGTTTCCCCTTGTTTTTTTGCTGTCTTTTGAAGAGAGAACTTTGAGCTTATTTTTTACTTTATTTGATTTTTTTTCTCATATAACCACTTTTGAGTCCTGATTTTGGTTACTATATCTTGTCTAAGCCTCTGACTATGCCTTTCTGTAGACAGTTGGCATGCCTTCATTTATCTGTGGTCTACCATTGGTTGTTCCTCCTGCCTCTGGCTGTAGCCTCTTGTTTTAACCTCTCCATATTGTCACATAATGGAGAAACTCAATATGTCTTTGTTTTGCTGATGAAATGCTGTTATATTCATATTTCAATTCACATAAATTGTATTTCAGTTTGCTGTACTTGAAGCATGTGCTATATGAATCATCAGTGGTGATTTTTACCAATTTAGATCATTCATCTCCTTGTGCTTGATCTGATCTTTTCTCCATTGCTAACTAATATTGCCCTGAGATTCTCTGTAGGTTCTTCTCTAATCTCTAACCTAAGCTGTACTAAATACACCTTTCTTTTTTCCCTCCCACTCTTTCCTTTGTTCTCTCCCCTATTTCCTTCTCTGCCCAAATAATGTTTGGTTTGATTTCTAATGGTCTAAGTTATATAGGTTCACCAACATTTATTTGGGAAGTAGAGGAAAAACCTACTAAGTAGTCTCTCAATCCAAGAGGGAGCAACAAACTGCTTTTAGGGCCTCTCTACTTGGAATTAGATACTGAGAAATATTCTCTCTTGTGTAGTCAATTTCACTCATTAGTTTTCTCTATGTAATAATAAGAATGTTGATAATAATGGGGACAGTACTTACCATACTTTTATCATAGATAATAAAATTTAAACTGCATTTTCATTAATGTTGAATGATATGCTTACCACCGCCTTTTTCTAAGATCTTCTCCCAAGGCAGAGAAGTCAGGAACTTCATTTTTCAGAATGTTCCTCCCCCATGTGGTTCCAGATAGCAGTATGCCAATAAAAAGCATTTCTGTTTGATCAGAAAGGCTGAAGGAAGAAGAGGCTGTCATTCTCTAAAAGCAGTTCCAATCAGATGCTGTGCAGACAAGAGATTCACAATGGCTTCTTGGCCAGCTCCTGAGAACCATCCCTTTTCCTGATGCAGGCAGATAAAATCAATGAGAGCTTTCATATATTTATAGGGATTGCAGCAGCTCCCTGTGAAATCATAAGAAACCCTGGATGAGTACCTCATGCTGAAATAATTGGTACAGGCTTCTTAGACCTTCACTCCCCAACACTTCCAATGGTTGAGCAATTCTCTATTTCTTTATATTTAAACCCTTCATGCTTAGAACACATAAAATGACTGTTTTCCTAGATAAATCTTACTAATTTTTTAAAAATAATAGTATTGTTATTCTTCAGTTAAGGACCTAGGTTTAACGAGTCATATAACATGAACAGCTGCACACTGTACTAATAAGGGAAGGTGAGATATTGGTCTTGGGGTTTATCTAAATCACTGGGCTGGGCTGGGGATGTGGCTCAAGTGGTAGCACACTCTCCTGGCATGTGTGCGGCCCGGGTTCGATCCTCAGCACCACATACAAACAAAGATGTTGTGTCCGCCGAGAACTAAAAAATAAATATTAAAAATTTTCTCTCTCTCTCTCCTCTCTCACTCTCTCTTTAAAAAAAAAAGATATTAAAAAAATAAATCATTGGGCTGCGAGGCTGTTTCTGACACTTCACTGGGGCTTCCTATGTTCTCTTCAGACATTGCTGTCTCATCCACCTCTGATGTTCTCTGGCTGCAACCCCTCAGTACCCATTAGCTACCTCCGCTGTAAGTGAGCCTTTTAGCTCAGAGAGTCCAGCTTTGGGTCTTGAATTTGGATACAAACGGATATCTCTTTTTACTGTATTCTCAAGAATAAAGAAGATTCTCTCCCATTTTCTGACCCCTAAAAATTTTATAACGTTGTGCAGAGTCCTTTTGTCTAAAAAAGCTAACTTTCATCTCCAACCTCAAGATTTTAGATGGGAACAGGCTGGTGAGTTCTATTTTTGCCACCAACCAGGTTTTTTCTGGCTGAACGATTCTTGGGTTTTATATAACGTAATAGATTTTATTCTTCTGTTTTTGTGACACCCCCCTCCCTTTAAACAAAGGATCAAAATTCAAGATCAGTTTCTGTTTTTTTTTTTTTAATTTTATAGTATCTTTTCTACTTGCTTTTGTTTTCTCCCAGGTCTCTCCACTAAAGCTCACCTTCTGAACTGATGAGGTATAGAGATTTTTGCTCTTTACATCTACATTTGGGTTAAGAAATTTAAAATCCAAAGATGCTGCTTTTGAATTTAATCTTATGACTTTCCATTTTGCAGGAATTCTTCGGGCACCTCTGTAGGATAAAAAATCTGTTTATTTACAGTGAACATTTTAACTATGACATAAATTTGGCATCCTTTGTTAATTTTAGAAGCAAAACATCAAAGTTTTTCACTTTTTCTTGTCAAATATTTAAATTATGTGTCAGCTGAAAATTAATTACTAAATATATCAGTCACTTTATTTTTCTTTAAAGATAAGTGATTCATAAAATACATGTGGAATAGGGTTTCAGTTTGTCTTATTTTATTTCATGAAGATTTTCAATTAAATGAATGCTTTCACTATCAATTATAATGAGAAGATAAGTTAAATCCACTCAATTAAACAGTCACTTTTGAAATCTCTGGGTCTAACTTTGAGCTATCTTCATGTTAATTTAGCATCCTTTCAAAGAGAAATCAATGATTTGTTAAAGATTTCTTTTCATTAGTGTGAATTAGTGAACTCATTCGACTATGTCAAGAAAAGATAAGCAATATTTTGGAAGAGAAAAGGAGTATTTTTATTGGATCTTGATTATCATTAACTTATCTCTATTTGCTTTCCACTGTGAATGGTTACAGTTGTTTTTGATGGTTAGTCTCCTTTGAATTCTGCTTTAATGCTTGCCAATGCAGCAAGTGATAGATGGACTATAAGAAAATACTACATGGGACTGAGGCTGTAGCTCAATGGCAAAGCGCTTGCCTAGCATATGTGAGTCACTGGGTTTGATCCTCACAACCACATAAAAATAAACAAATAAAATAAAGGAATTCTGTCCATCTTACAACTACAAAAAATAAAAATTTAAATTAAAAAAAACTACATTTGATTACTTCACAGGCACACCATTTCTCAGTTTCATCTAATTTTTACTTACTCCAGCCCCTTACTGAATCTCTGTTTAGGTATTCAGTCTATCTACTCCTTACACCTCCCACTCAACACACACAAATGGTCCTTGACATCAAGGACTGAGAGAATAAAAGGAAAGAGAATCAGGTAAAACCATCAACTATAATATCAGCTACAAAATGTTGGAAAAGAAATATGATAAATTGGGTTATCACAAAAGGAATTGACATAATTTGTCTAGGGAGGTGACATTAAGAGCTCACATATGAACTGGGACCTAAGCAGCTGGAGTAGTAGTTCTTCAGGCACAGAGGTGGGCTGGAAATTGGGTTGAAGATGGGCAGAGAGTCCTAAAAGAAGAACAGGAGAAAGATTTTTCTCTGAGTTAATAATAACAACATGAATGAAACAGTCGTCATTCTTGGATTTGATGATTGTGGACAAATTTAATTTAAAACTCTTATTTTAGATTTCATCTCTTTTTGTAGACATTTCAATGGCTCATCGTGCACCTGATGACATAATACATTTTCATCATCTTTTTAGTTGTATTACATAATTCCAAATACTATAACTCCAGCCAACGTGAATGAGGAATATGTTTATAACCGTGTTCTTATGGTTAAAATAGGTGGTTTGGGGGTATAACAGCCCCTTCAAAGATAGTTTGTTAGTGCTGCTGTCTAAGAGTAAGAGCATAAAAAATACTAACTCAGGGTTATTCTAGGAGTTGTTACTCCTAAAGAATAATAATATTCTCAAAGATTAAGAGACTGACAGTTTGGGGATAAGAATGCATTGCTTTAGAAGGAAGTACTCCTTAGCAAGCTATTCTGACACCTTACTCCAGTCTGGCCCTAGCCTCTCCAGCATATAAATCCTCTGTGAAAGGAAAAGCTGTAAATGTTTTCTTACCCAACACTAAGGCCACAAGGACCTAGAAGATAAACTGAGACTGTTGCTTCCTATCAATGTGGTCTTAGTATTATAGTTTTATTACAGTTTGGATATGATGTGTTCCCTAAAACTCTTATTATTTCAGGAATATTCAGGAATAAGTTTTGAAAGTTGTAATCTAATTGGTCCCTCCAATGTTTGAATGGACTGACTGGGTAGTAATAGTAAGAAGGTGGTGTGTAGTTAGAGGAGGTGAGTCACGACCATACCCTGGAAGATTGCATGTTCCCTGTGGTCGGTGCCCTTCCCCGCTTCTCTGCTTCCTAAAAATGCTACTCCATGAGCTGAACAGTTTTCCTCTGTTGGACTCTTCCCCTATGATGTGCTGCCTCATCTTGGGCTAGTGTGATTGGCCATCTGTTGACTGAGAACTTTGAAACCATAATCCCCAAATAAACTTTTCCTTCCCAGGTATTTTAGTCACAGCAATGCAAGTCTAACTAAAACCCTTGGACAACTTATTCAACTTCTTTGATGATCAGTGCTTGTTCAAACTTCATAGCACTGCCAGGTCTCTGTGACGCTAGAATAGGTATAATGTGCATAATATAATGTATAATACAGAATAGGTAAAATAGGGGAAGGAACCACATGGCAGATAGAATCATACAATTCCAGGAGAGGAACATGTATCTATTCTGATGTTTCTAAATTCAGAATTATTTCCACTACAGATTGTTGGATCTCTCTATGGGTCTGTGTTAGAGAAATGGATTCAGAATATGGCTATGTTAGCAATTTTCCCATTAAAAATGACCACTTGGGAAAAGTGTATTTGTGGCCCATCTGCTTTCATTGTGGGAGCTGTAAATGTAGAAGGAGATAAATTACTTCCCATTAATCTGTGCCTATGAGTGCATTTCTTTTAAAATTCTTGGAAGTATCTGTCATTTCATACTTAATACTATACTAATTCACACTAATGACTTGAAAATCCCCGAGAGATAACTAAATTGTGCAAACGCGTACTGATGAACACTAAAAAGCAACATTATAAAATCAGAAATGTGGATTCCTGAAATGTACTTGCTTTATTTATGTTGACAAGGGCTGTTTACTTTCTGTAACTCATAATAAAGTATTACTGTAGAATAGTAAATGTACTAAAGTTGTTTTATTAAAGTAATAAAGCCAGAATGGGAGGCTTTACTAAAACCCACCACCATTACATTGTTACTAAACAGCAAGTTAAAGATGCCAGGGTACTGTGTTTTTTATTTTCCGTATAAAATTCTATTTAGAATTTTGTACTTTCCAGATTTCATAAGGGATTTGATGGCTACTCATCTTCAAAATTTTTGTGGAACAAAAACATTTTTCTGAATATCTAAATATGCAAAATTATTTTTAGTTGGTTAGAACGTTTGACTAATAAAACTTAAGATCATGAACAAACTCCCAGGAAAGTTCTGTGCTGTGAACACATTCTTGACTCTCACTGACCACCCTTTTGCAAGTACAGTAATGAGGCAGGAAAAACAGTGGCGTTCCATGGATTACTTCCAGAAGGAGCACTCAGACCATGTGGAAACTCCAGCTACCAAGACTTAATGGATGGTTCTACCTAGTTGAGGGCATTCCTGACCTTCAGTCAGCTTTAATGTGGTCATACGTTTCTCAAAGTTAGGAAAGACGCCTTTGGCTTCCTCTGGGTTCTCTTAAGGCCCATGATAAATGGAGAAGCTTAATATGTGCTGTTGACTATAAAAAGTGACCAATTTTATTTATCCTGGCCAAAGTAGAGGAGAACCATATTTTTCTTTTGTTTGTAAATTTCCTTCGTCCCATATATTTTGGTCTCAAATAACTTTAGTGGATTATGGTAAAAAAGGAAGAATCAATATTAGCAATACCTGGAAAGTATATGGAGTCCACATTTTTGCTCATTTTTTTTTTCAGTACTGAAGAGTGAAGCCAGGGCCTTGTACAGTGTGGGCAAAGTGATATGCCATGAATCTATAGCCCTAATCCTCTTGCTCATATTTTTAATAAGACATCATATGAACATGTTTTGGAGGCTTTGGCAAAGCCCATAACACTTCTGGGAAAGTAATTTAAAGTGCTACCTACTGGCTATTAGGTCAGTTATTCTAGATGATCTATAACTTTTTTTAGTTAATAATGTGGAACTCAAATCTATACATAAAGGATATTTGTATTTTGCTCATATACTTTTGCCTTGTTCAAAACCACAAAGGCTGAATTTCCTACTATAATTTTCCATCAAGCAAAAATATACAAATCAAGATATTGTTAGGTTTTCAAAACTTCTAAGGAGGCTACTGTAATCCATATAAAACAAATAAAAGGAGCATACCCATAAATATATTTTGAGGTCAATTTTTTCTGTTATTTATTTTTGTTGTGATGGCATATACTAAAATAGTGGAAATAGAATAATAAATGTTCATGTGTGTATTTGTCTTGATGTTATTTAATGATTTTATAAATAGAATGTGTTTATCAACTGCTAATGTTAGTTCACCAAGTTACACATAAGAAAATTTATAATGCAAAAATAGGGCAGGAAAGGAGGTTATTTTATTTTTCCTACTTCTGCTGTCTCTTTGACCTCTACTGTCTTATCTGGACTACCCTGGTTTATTGTGTTTTATGGATTCAAAGACAGAGGTATGTTACCAGGTGTAAATTTTAAACCTAGAAAGAAAACTTGGACCTCATTTATGCAGTGTGAATGTATTGTGGCCAAAAGCATAAACACCAAAATCCACATGAGATCAAAGTTTCATGCTCAGCTTAGCATTAAAATATATAGCAGAACATGGGTGATGAGACTTGGAAAAATTTGGTAGCTCACAGGGTCAGATTTCTCTGAGAAAATCCCAATTTGAGTCAGACATTCTCCTCTGCCAATGTCATTACTACAGGTTTCCTACCCTTTGATAATATACAGTATACAATCAAAGATGCTGAATTAAAATTTTAGCTTCATTATTTCCTAGTTATATTATTTTGAATATATTAATTACCCATTTTAAACTTCACTTTCTACATTAGTTAGGTAAACAATAATTGTATATTCTCTAGGTGTGGTAGCTATTATATGGTATCAGATAGGTAAAGGTTTAAACTCAGATTCTGGCATATTTTAAATGTTCAAAAGTCTACATAATGCTCTTTTGCATATGACGAGGAGGAAAAGTGATATGTATTATCTACTGCTTCATTCATGATGAAACATATTTTAGTCAAGTGGTGTGTGAGATACAAGAGATAGAAATCCTGACTGAGCCCCATTCATTGACCTAGTGAAGCTTGATAGTTAATAGGAAAGACAGATGTGCATAAAATCCAGTATAATAAAATGGCATAGAGGCTATTAATTATATATGAAATGCCAATGTGGCTAGAGAAAAAAAAAAGTCAATTGATGTACAAAGAAATAAACAAGATAGACTTTTTGGAAATGCAGTGCTTAATTTCAGTCTAGATCATCAATGAAGAATCAATCAGGTGAAGAAGATGTTGTGGCATCCCAGACATTCCTGGTAAACATTAAAATGTTAAAATACCTAAAGTTCTATGAAACATACCTAAGATTTAATGGAGTTTAGAGAATGCTGATTAGTTCCCACATGGCCAAAAGAAATCTCTGTTGGATAGAAATAGCTTTAAATTGGACAATTTGTGATATTTCTATTAGTCATAAGGTTAAAGTAAATAGTAAACAAATCAACTTCTCTCAGACTTGAGCCAGCTCTTAGCTGATATGAAGCTGTTCATCCCATCTACCTATTTGGGATTACACTAAGGTAGACACAGATTGCTACAATTATTTTATCTTGTTTTAATTAAATAAAAATGTGTGTTATTTGTCACCCTGTATGGGAACTTTGTTCCATTAAACAAATATTTAATGTATGTTCTGTCTCTTCAATATGGCAATAAAAGATGTTCTAGAAGAGGGCATGGTTTCTATTTTCTGTCTTTGATCATAAACTTGACAAAATAAACCATATTCCTTTAATAGTTTATTTTGAATCTTCACTAAAGAATTTATAAAACCTTGCTTTTTTATTTGACTTTTAAATTTTTTTCTGTATTCCATATTAAGATGTTTTTTTTTTCTTCATCCAATTACTCTGTTAATTGCCATGTAAAGTGGTACTTTTCTGGTTTTGTCTTTTTTTTAAATGCCAAGGAGATATCTCCTAATTTTAATTTTACCAAAGGTGTAACTCAACTAACAAGAAACAAAACGATGTTAATGCTCTTGTTACTGAGATGAACCTATGAGCTCTGTGGAAGTCATGCTTTCATCTTTTATACCAATTTTGCTTGTTAGACTTCTTCATGTGATAATTAAGGTAAGCAAATTGAACTGACAGTGGTATTGCTGGAAAGAAACCTCTGTGGCCTAAGGCTTCGGAAAAATCATATTTCTTA